CCCACGGTGACGGCAGGACTTCCCGGTCCCGGGGGCTGAGCGGCCCGTCCCCTGCCCCCAAGCGCTTCGTCACCCACCAGTCACCCACCAGGACGTAGGCCGGGGCTGCCAGGGCGGGGCCCTCACCCCGGGACGACCAGGTCATCCTCCTGTCCTTCTCCAGCCTCTTCAAGGAGCTCAGGCCCACGAGCCCGTGGCTCCAGTGCCCCCTGCTCCGACGCTGGGACGGGGACATCCGGGCAGGGTGACGCGGGGCTGCACGTCCTGCAGGCCCCCACTGCCCGCTGACCTGGCCTGCAGCTGGGCAGGCACTGCTCCCCGCCCACCTGAACCGGTGCCATGACCCCACTCCGAGCCAGGCTGGGCGCCAGCAGGCTGGTCAGGCCCCAGGCGGGGGCCAGCTCTGGGTGTCAATAGGATCTGCTCTGCTGTGTGGGCTCTGGCTTGGCCACCAGAGCTGCCCTGACGCGGTCCCCAGGTTGGGGCCCACTCTGGTCCCCAGGAACCCCCGGTGAGATGGTGGGCAGTGCCCTGGGGGAGCTGGTTCTGGGTTCCATCCGGAGCTGGGAGAGGGAGAGGGAGCCTGCCGGCCCCTTGTGACCTGCAGCTTTGCTCACCACAGCTGCCACCAGCACCATCCCGGAGGCCTGGTGGGGAGGCTGCAGGTCAGCGCTGTGCCTCCGGGTGCTGGGTGGGGAGTGCTGGCATGACCACCACACCACGTGTGAGCAGGCCCACCCCGGGGCCAGGGGCGCTTGTCGAGTCTCCCCTCCGACGTTTGCCGAGGGTCAGCGCTGCGCTCCTCCTGAGGGTGGGCCCGGGTCGGCATGGACCGGGCCTGCAGGACACATGCGGCTCGGAGGCAGGACAGCTGGGCTGAGAGGGCCGCCCAGGGTGGAGCCCACACTTAGCAGTGGGATGGGGAGGTGCCAGGGCCTGGCATGGAATGACAGGCGCCCCACCGATGCTTCCAGCCAGCAGGCTCGTGGTCTCCGTGCCCTGCCGGGCAGCCGTCAGGGTTCTCAGTGCCACAGCACCCCCCGCCCAGTGGTGGTCAGCAAGTCTGTGCCGGCCGGCGTGTCCCCTGTGGTCCAGACGCCTGGCCACATAGCTGAGTGCTCTTGTGCCTGAGGCAGGGAGGACAGGGGGACCTTGGGGTGCTGAAGGACACCTGTGCCCTAGTCCCGCCAGGCCCCGTTGGCACTCAGGCCCTTCCCAGAGGCCAGCTTGCCCTGTGAGTTCTCACAGGTGTGGGTGGCCTCGGCCCACCACCCTCCGTCTGGCAGGAGGCTTTTGGCATGCACATGGCAGCCTCGTGGCACCAAGAGGCAAGTGTCCACCCTGAGGCAGGCCGGACCCGCTGAGGCTTCGGGAGAGACCCCCGGCTGTGCTCAGGGGTGACAGGCCTCGCTGGTCCCTTCTTGCCCAGCTTCCGGGCAGAGCGCAGAGCCGGCAAGACACCACTTCGGGTGAGAACTTTTCTCCACAGAGAGTAAGAAAGGGCTGGGCAGGGCTGGCAGGTGGAGTGGTGGTGAGGGGCGATGGACTCCCACATGGCCAACCACGGTTTGAGTCGACCTGGTGAGTGGCTTTCTCATTTTCCCTTTCTCTCTCTCTCTAGTCAAATTTTAAAAATAACAAATGGATTTAAATAAACAAAGTAAATCTTTTTAAAAGAAGAAAGAAAGGAAGGGCTGGGCCCCAGCCCCGCGGTACCATCCTGGGTCTGTGGAGTCTGGGCAGGGAAGGCAGCCCTAGGCCTCACCTTCTCCTGGCCCCAGGCCTGAGGGCAAGGGGGCCAGCGGCTTGGGGGCTCAGCTCCAGGTGGGTGAAGGTCTGACAGTGACCCCAGGACAGCTTTTGATGGTGTGGAGCGTTCGGGCGGGGAAGACCTGTCCCCAGAGCTGACCGTGTAGGCCTCCACGCACCCCGCGGCTGCCCTGCCCCTGCTGGGTACACGTGGACTTCGAGACAGGTGTCTCAGCTGCAAGGCCCATGTGGGTTGGCTAGGGCACTTCCCGACACCCAGACGCCATGAGGGTGAGGGGCACACCCAGGGGATGAGGCCGAGCGAGAGGAGGGCCCCCTTGCAGGCAGACCCCACCCTCGGTACCCAGGCACCTCGTGTCACCCGCGGGGCACACGCACGTGCACATTCTCCAGCTCATGAGTGTGAGGTGCGTGCTGCTTTCCTGCCCCTGCTCCCAGGGCTGTGGTGGCAGATGTGCTGGCCCAGGACGGGGCTGCCATGTACCCCTGCCCCGCAGCCATCACCGTCCACTCAGCTCCGGGAGGCAGTGTTTCTCGGCCACACAGACCAGGTGGGTGCTGCCCCGGCTGGGTGTGGTTCGCCTATGGGCCTTGGCACCTCCCCAACTTTCCGCACCCCAGGTTTCTGCCCTGGCCCTGGACGGGACCAGCTCGCTGCTGGCCTCCACCCAGCTGGGGCCCCCAGCGTGGGAGACTCAGGACTTCCTAGGGCCATGCGTGCCTGCTCCGGTGCCCGGTGCTCACCTGCTCCGAGGTGGGCTGGGCTGCTCTTGGGGGCGACACTGAGCCCTCCTCCACCTCCACAGCTTTTCTCAGGGCAAGGCCCCTCTCTGTGCTGTCCCACCTCTGCATGCAGGCACCCCGTCCCCGTCCCCTGCTGTGCCTTGGGCAGCTCCGCTCTGCACGAAGGCCTCTTATTGTGGCTGCATGGCGTTGGGACTCACTGAGGAGTGCCCTGCTCCTGGCCTGGGGGGGTGTTTGCCCCGGGTCTGTGCCTGAGGATGACGGCACCTCAGGGGCCGAGTCCCAGTGCCGCGGAGCAGGGCACCCCGTGCTGTTCCACTCTCTGACTCGACTCGCAGCCGGTTCCTCTCGGCCACTGTGGGAGCTGGAGCCCAGCCTTGTCCCTGCAGGTGGCCAAGTCGGCTCCCAAGGAGAAGAGCCATCACTTGGTGGGGCGGACCACCAGGGGCTTGCGGGCATCAGCCAGCCCTTGGCATGGGCTCGTTGAAGGTGGTGTGGGCACAGGCCAGGTGGGCCTTGGTGGTGAGGCCGTGGTCCTGGAGAAGGTGCACGGTGACTGACATCCAGGCCTCTCAGGTCGCCGCCTTTGACAAGGCTAGGTGACGTGGCCAGCCCACTCCTGGTGCCAAGACAGCTCTGGTCCCAGTGGGCTAAGGGTGGGGTCTTTGCACTTCATGCCCTCACTGGGTGGCTCTGTGTAGGCAGGGCAGCGTGCGACTGCGGGGGTGGCTGTGGTCCTGCCCTGTGGACCTAGCAGACTACTGTGCACTGGAGTCGAGCTGCTTCAGCGGGCCTGGCAGGATGGCTGCCAGCCCTCGGTCCACATGCTGTGAGCCCCTACCCTCCCTGCCCCCTGGGGCAGACTTGAGTGTAGTCACCACGGCCACACCCTGGAGGTCAGATCCCAGTGTCTGTCCGTGCAGTGTGCCCACCACCTGCTGCCCGCGCAGATCCTCGGGGGTCCCTGCCCACAGATGCAGGTCTACAGCCAGGGTGGGTGAACTCCCGCTGAGTGGAGAGGTGGCCCTGGGGCCTCTGGGCCGACGCCTGCCCTCCCAGGTCCCGGCGTCACCATCAGCAGCTTCGGTGTCTCCTTGCCCATGTGTGCCGTGGACTGCGGGGACAGCTGCTTGCATCTCTGGTCCCTGGGTTTCTCCTCGGTACCCCTGAAGGCAGGCAGGTGAGGACCCGTCACTGTCCTGGGGACAAGGAGTGGTGTCCTGCATCTGGGGGCCCTCTGGTGCCAGGACAGAGGGCCAGGTGGGCGGCAGATGCACCACACAGCCATGGGCACTGGGCCCAGACAGCTCATGCGAGGGCTGCCTCCCCACAGCCTGTCGGGGTCCCAGGGCTCCCACCAGGAAGCCCGTCTGTCCGTGTCTGTCCCCAGAACCTGCCTGGGGCTGACCTGGGCCCACCTGGCCCCGCAGTGGGTCTGTGAGGTCGCCGACCCCACCACATCCACAGAACACGAAGGCCCCGTCAGCTCGGTCTGTCAGCCCCGACGGCCTGCGTGTGCTGTCCACCAACTCTTCGGGCCACCTGGGCCACCTGGACATCCCCTCCCAGGAGTTCCCTGTGCTGATACGTCCCCACACAGTCACGTTGGCCTTCACGGACCCGAGCTGGGGGTAGCGGCCACTGTGTCCCAGGATCACAGCAGGTGGGGTGGAAGGCAGGGAGGGGACAGGAGGACCAGAGGCCGTGCCATGGGTGGGAGTGGCCCACGGAGCTTGGGTCCTTCCAGCCTGTGTCTGGCTCCCTGGGTTCTAGCCTTGCAGACCCTGCCTCTGGCGAAGGGCTCTTGTGGTTCACCCACTCTCACACAGCCCTGCCCCAGCTGTATGCCCTCAGGCCCTCGGAGGATGCCCCGCGCAGTCGCCTCCGCCCTGTGCAGCCCGCCTTCCAGCTTCGGCAGCTGGCTGTGCGCCCCTTGTCTGGAGGCCTCTGCGGCGCTGGTGGGGCACTTGGGAGCTGAGGGCTATGGTCCCTGTAGGGGAGGGCTGTCTGCAGGAGGCCAGAGCTGCCCGACTGGCATGCTCAGGCCAGGGGCACTCACTGTGCAGGTGTCACCGAGGACTGTCACCCCTGGCAGCAGCTTGCTATTCCGTCCCTGCTCTCTC